GGGGGCTGGTGCTGGTGCAACAGTGAGCCTCCAGCCCGGGTCTTGGCACGGCACAGGGGGTGTCCAGCCTTGATCCTCAGCGGCAGCAGCGGGTGGCCTTCTGGAAGCTCACAGAGCAACGTTCAGATGAGCTTTCCTTCCCTGGAAGCAGTTTCTACCTATACGTGCCCTCTAATATTTGCGGACCCTGCTGCAGGGCCAGGCTGGACCAGGCGTGAGGTGGGCTCCAGGACAGCTGCGCCCCTGCGGACTCTGGCGCAGGGCAGAGCAGCAACCTGGCTCCAGGGGCCAACCGGGAACGTGGGCTGGGCGCTGGCTGGTGTAGCTCGGTGGGTTGGAGCCCTGTCCCCTGCACCTAGTCTGGGCGCACAGCTAGGTTCCGGTTCGGTTCTGGTCCCCTCGTGTAAGGGAGGGGGCGGACTGATGTTTCTCCCTTCCCTTCTCTCTAAAAATCAAGGAAAATGCCCTCAGGTGAGGAAAAAAAGTAAAAGGATGCCAGCTGGACATTATTCGTGTCAGTGACAGGTATTACACTCATAATTAAGACTGGTTTTAAATTTGGACATTTAGGGGCTAAATATAACCACCACAATTTGTTAACCACAAAGCAAATAAAGTCTATACTGACAAAGTATAATTAGAGAAACAATGCTGTGTGTGGACATTTTCATGGGACCGTAACAACTTTGGGGCCTAAAAAGGCAGAGTGGCTCCAGTGGCTTCATGGGGGGCTGAGAGGGGCTCACTGAGGCTGAGAGGTCAGGCAGGTCAGTCCTGCCCAGTGACAAAGTCTCGGACAAAATGTTAGCCTACCAGAATTATTGTGAAGCTTCAGAAATAAAACCGGGTGCCAGTGCTGGACCAGAATCTCCTGGGATGGACCCGGCACCGCCGTGTGGAAAAGCGTCTGCAGGAGGTGCCACTTGCCCTTTGGGGATGGGCACCACACAGCTTCAGATTCCCCAAGGGAGGGCCAACCCCAACCTTTCCCCAGAGGGGCAGAGTCAACGCCCCAAGGGCTGTGTTCATACTCAGAACTCTGCAGTGGGGTTGCCCGTAATCAGAGAAAAGGGGAGCTGTTTTTCTCACTGTCAAACACCATGGGAACCAGCCACGGGGGTGGGGTGGGGACGAGCAGGGGCTGTCACTCAGAGCAAATGCAGTGTCCAACGTGTTCTGGAGCCTACCGGCCTTCCCTTCAAGGCCTCCCGGAGCCCTGGGTGGAGAATGCTTTGCAGAAGCAGGTGGGGGATGGACTGGGAAACGACCACGGCAAGGTGATTAAAGGAGGATTCGGTGAGGAGCCTAGAGAGCACTTTGCACTCTGGGTTCTCGGCAAGCGGTGCATCTTACAGGATCTTACAGGTTCACCGACTTCCTTGGAGGTTCCCAGACTCACTGTTAACTGTATTTATGACACAGTGAATATGAGGCTCTATTCCTGTCCTTATATGTTCAAAAATGACCTTTGGGGCAGGCGGCGATCCCATTCTTCTGCATTTTATAGCCTAGTACACGTCAAATAAAACTTTTGGAAACTGACATATGGTTATCAACTTTATATCAAGTAAGGACAGTGAAAAAGACTAAAAACTATGATCACTTCATTAAAACAGGGCTGTTTCAATACACAGGAAGGATAACTTCAGAATTCAAAAACTGAGCACACTGAACTTCAAAAACAGCCCTACTCTGGGCTTGGCTGTCTCATTTCCTGTGGACTGATACAACAGTGTGTCACCAACTCGTCTCTGCAAACTAAGGCTCCTTGACCTTGGACACTAAGGGCAGCCACCCTACTTGCAGATGTCAGTTTATTCAAAGAAGTGGTTTCAGGGCTTTAAGGGAACCCGGAGGAATTCAAGTGCAAATGTCTCTCAGCTTCGTGCCTCAATTTCCAATATTAATAACTGTGTTGAGCCCTGGCCAGGCAGCTCGGCTGGCTGGAGCATCGTCCCATGCACCAAAAGAAGTTGGGGGTTTGATGCCCGGTCAGGGCACACACCTAGGCTGTGGGCTCCATCCCAGGTTGGGGCGCAGCCGGGAGGCAACGGATCAGACTGATGTCTCTCTCACATCAAGTCTCATTCTCTCAAATCGATAAACATCCTTGACTGAGGATTAGAAACGAAACAAAACACTGTGTTGAGTGCTAGCAGCCAGAAACTGATTCCTTTAAAGAGAAGTAAAAGACATGTTATGGCATATAGATGCACAAAACTTGAATTTGGAAGGTTTTTTATAATGATCTCATCCCTGTGGTTTTCAAACTAGTGCTCCGTGGAGCCCCAGCGATACTACTTGAACCAAAGACCTCCATTTTAATTGCTTTAAATAGTTGAATTCCCAGTTAAGATAGAGTTCAACTGCTTAAAAAATGGACTGATTCAGTCCATCTCAGATATAAAGGAAACTGAGGCTGAAAGAAGCCCCAGGGTTTCCCCAGGGCCGCCTGTCTAATTGGCAGGACCTGGTGGCACAACAGTGGCTCGGGCAGGAAGGATTCTTATTGTCGACGCTTCACTGTCCACTCCCAGATTCACCAATGGTTGAACCAAATCTTCCACTGCTCCAGTGTCCCTTCTGGAACGTTCTGACCGGCTTCTTTTCACACTGGACCCTGTGCTCTGCTCGGCACAGTTTCTGCATAATGACAAAAGTTTCACTGGCAGCTGTTGGAAAGTAATTTAAACCCCAGGTCTGTGTTTTTGCTCCCATTTTTTACTATTACTGATGAAAATCTCTTGTAATAGTATTTTATTAATTTGAAGAGTATAGAGCTAATATGTGCATGACTCTAAGGTCGGGTCTATGTAAAAATTTAATAGGTGTTTTATTTTGTGAAAGATACACTTTTATTAAAACGCCTGAACTCTACTATCTGGTATATAAACTGAGACGCAGAGGCATCTGCTTGCTTATCTGAGACCCTGCACAGCTGAGCGCATGGGCTGACGACTCGGTCTCCTGGACGGCAAACACGTTCGTTTTGTAGCGAGCACCTCGGTGGTGAAATGGAGCAGATGATACGATGATAAGTCTGGACACAACTCAGCTGCAAGTAGCAAAAAAACCCTGAAAAAACAAAACTTGATGTAACCTAAAACAGTGATTTTTCAAACTCTGGCTCCCAATCATTACTGGGTCATGAAATGAACTTAGTGAGTTATGAGAACACTAAAAATAATACATGCACAAGAGCCAAAAGTGCAATAGAAAATATGAAAGGATACTACACGCCTTAAAGGTAACTAGTACTTTATAAACTTTTATTTCAATCCTATTTATGTATTGACCCATATATACTGGAATGATATAAACTATATTTCACAGCCCTCAGTGCTCCCCTAGAGAAGAACATACTTGGCCACTCAGCCCCTTGAGAGGGGACTTCTTTCTGACCCTTTTGTCATTTCTGAGCAGTGGCTCCTCATCCTGGTCCTGAGGGCCCCTCCTCTCAACACCATGACAGTGACCCCAACCCCGGAGCACCCCCATTTCCTGGCTCCCGGCTGTTTTCTGGAAGCTTCCTCCTATCAGCCCGCGATCCACGGAGGGCACGTCGCTACAGTACCTCTGAATGTGGTCAGGGACACCGCAGGTCCCCGCTACCCTGCGCCAGGCACCGGGCCCGGGCCTCAGGGACCCGGCTCTTCAGAGGCAGCTCCGTCTGGCCCCTGGGTAGCGGCTCCTGTTACCTGAATGTCTGGAGCTCCCGGCACAAAGCACTCGCCGGCGGAGCGCACGTTTCCAATGAAGGAGCTTGGCACTGAGCGCGTTCCACTGGGTATAAGCCAGATAAATTAAATCCAACAAAGTAAAAGTTTCAAATAAAGCAGAGTATCTACTCGTTTCTTTATTCTTAAGAAGTACAAAAGTACTATACAAAGCTTTATGCTGATTAAATCCTAAGAGTTGTATAAAAAGTTGAGATTGGCATTCTGTGGCTAAGGTAATAATAATCTTACTTCAGCATCATATCTCATATGGTAAAGATGTACAACATTAACTCTTTGATTTCGAGCAGTTATAAACTTACCTTTGAACATAATACCACGTATTTAGTTTTAGTAATTACTGTCACCTAATTTAACAACAGTAGTACATGATACTGAGGGTAAAGGAAAACAGTTAATGTAATAATTTTCCAAATGTGGCTGAGAAAGAAACATACCAATGTACACTTGAATTGGGGGAGGGTGTGAACATAATTTGACCTATGATTTAATAGGCTCTGGGAGAGTGAACAAAGCTTTTTAAACTAGAAGTGTGCTCAAGTTGATCAAGTTCAAACACTTCATCTTTCATATTAGGAAATGCTGTACACCAGGGTAAGTGACTTATCTAAGGTCACATTATTGCTCAGCAAGGGAGATGCCCCAGGTCTGATAAATACAGAATCTTTTCTATTCCATAAGAGGTTAATGGAATAAAATCATATTTTTATTCTATAAATAAAATCATATTTTTAAAAAGATCCAATAAGGTGTCAAGGAGAGAAATACATAACATTTTAGACTTAAAAAACAACCCTAGAGCAAGAATTTAATAAAAATATATGTTGACAAGTGTGTTTGAGTCAACATACTCAGCGTGGGACACGGTGCTGCAAACACTGATGACAGCAGCTCACAGTGTAGTGATTCACTTGCACGTTTATATATTATTCTTGCGTATTGGTTGTGTTTTCATCTGTATCACCTGAATCACATTTTTTCCACAAAAAGTTCTCGTTTGATTTCCACAGGGAAGTTTCTAGATCCTCTCTCCTTCTGGAGGGTGCAGCCCGGGGCACCTTCTCACACAGAGTCTCGATCACTGCCAAGTCGGTGAGTCTGCTGAGACTGTCGTCATTCGGCTCATTCAGGATGTCCCAGAAATCTTTCGGTCTCTGTTTTGCTTTTTCCATGGGCCCTGAAAGAATTTTCTTTGGCGGCCGTGTGGGACTGTCCCTGTGACTTTTGAAGAGGTCATCGAGAATGGAGGTGTCCCCGAGTAGGCCTGCCACAGAAGCCTTTTCTAACCCTGGGCTCTGTAGCCTTCTGTTTTCCACTTGGAAAAGGGGTTCGCTCCCTGAGGCGCCCGTTCTTGTGCGGTTCTGCTGGCCTCCCCTGGTGTGTTCTAGCTTTTTCTCAGATGCCTCAGGCTTGCTGCTCAGGGGACTGGGCCCTGCAGCGCCTGTTTCACTCTCAGCCTCTTGGGAGGAGCCTGTGGGTAATTTCTGAGCCTCTGCTGCATTAGAAAGCGCCTCTTCTCCATGGAAACCATGACTCTGAGGCTTAGTTGATCTTTCTTTATATATTTTTGCACTGCAAATGTGAGAAAGTTTTTTGGTAGAATCTTTAAATGACAAAGGTTTGGAATCTGGCAGCCTTTCTTTTAGAAAAGATGCTCTCTTTTCAGACTTCTTCCTGACTCTCTTTCCTTCCTCATGGGCAGGTTTAATGACTTCTGCAGCAGGATCTACAAAAAAATCTTTTACCTCTGGATACTGAGAAGCATAAAAATCTCTAAGCATTTTCTGTCGTTCTTCTGATGTGGCATTAGTTATATGTTGAGCAAATTCCTTTACAGAAGACGAATTAAAATAAGAAGCCATTTCTTCAAATTGTTTTCTGAAGATTTAATGAACAAAACCAGTGGTTATTTTTATCACATTTCATTTCCAAAGAGCTTGTCATCATGACATGAGATGTAGAAACACAGCAGTCCTATTCCTTAGCATATATTGCTTTAATTCCACAATAAACGTGCATTTTACACTAGCAGAACGTGACCTCTTTTCTTACATTACTGAAGCAAATATTTTAGCTCATGAAATCACCAGCTTTTAAAATTATTCTGATTTATACTATTAGGTATTTCCTGGGCATTATGGGATCCCAGCACTCTACTCTTCCAGTCAGCCAATTTATGACTGACATGAGAATCATAACTCATATAATCTGTATTTGAAAATCTATATTGCATTCAAGTTCCATAAAATAAAATTGTCAAAGAAGGGTCTTAATAAGCAGAAAACATTCTGAAACTAGGAAAGGAGTTTTTTACTTCTCTGTCCTATTTCCTCTTCTCCCAAACAAATACAACACCGAAATTCCACAAAACTTTTTGATGAGCCTAAATGAAAGTTCTAAACTGATAAACCTAGATTCTTTCTTCCCCCAATTGGTCCGACTTCAGTATAGACAGCTAAACTAAGAAGTGAGATGCTATTTTTTTACCCCACAGAACTAGAACAAATAATCCTAAAATGTTTATGGAACCACAAAAGACACCAAATAGTCACAGCAAACTTGAGAAACAAGAAAGTTTGAGGTATTGCAATACCTTATAACAAACTCTACTACAAGGCCATAGTAACCAAAACAGCACGGTACTGGCATAAAACAGATGCACAGATAAATGGAACAGAATAGTGAGTCCAGAGATAAAACCACGCCTATCTGGTCAAATTAGTATGTGACAAAAGAGGCAAGAATATACAAGAATCTTCACTAAATGGTGTTGGGAAAACTGGACAGATACATGCAAATAATGAAACTAGACCACTTCCTTACACCATACACGAGAATAAACTCAAAATAGATTAAAGACTTAACTGTGAGACCTGAAACCATAAAATTCCTAGAAGAAAACATAGGCAGTAAACTTTCTGATACTGCTCTTAGGAATATTTTTTTTTGGATATTCCTTTCCCCTCGGGCAAGGGAAACAAAAGAAAAAATAAACAAATGGGACTACATCAAACTAAGAAGGTTTTGCACAGCAAAGGAAACCATCAATAAAACAAAAAGACAACCTACCAAGAAGTAGAAGAAGATATTCGCCAATGATATATCTTATATCCAATGTTTATAAAGAACTCATACAACTTAACACCAAAAAATCCGAACAATCCAATTAAGAAATGGGCAGAGGATCCAAACAGATATTTGTCCAAAGAGGACCTACAGACATATGAAAAGGCGCTCAATGTCACTAATCATCAAAGAAATGCAAATTAAAGCCACAATGAGCTATTACCTCACACGTGTCAGAATGGTCATCAGCAACAAATCAACAAGTGTTGGTAGGATATGGGAGAAAAGGGAGCCCTTGTGCTCTGTTGATGGGATTGCAAATTGATGCAACCACTATAGAAAACAGTATGCAGTTTCCTCAAAAAATTAAAGAGAGAACTGCCTTATGACCCAGTGATTCCACTTATGGGCATTTATTTGAAGAAATTCTAAACACTAATTTTAAAAAATATATGCATCCCTTTGTGCACTGCAGCATTATCTGCAACAGCTAAGATATGGAACAACCTAAGGATCCATCACTAGATACTTGGATAAAGAAGATGTGGTACAATAGAATATTACTTAACTATAAAAAAGAATAAAACTTTACCATTTGTAACAACATGTATGAACCTAGAGGGTATTATGCTAAGTGAAATAAGTCAGACAGATAAAGACACATACCAGATGACCGCACTTACATGTGGAGTCTAAAAAACAAAAACAAAACAGAAACAGACTCATAGGTATTGAGAACAAACTGATGGTTGCCAGATGGGAGAGGGGTTTGGGGGCTGGGTGAAAAGCTGAAGACATTAAAAAGTACAGATTGGCAATTACAAAACATTCACGGGGATGTAAAGTACAGCATGTGGAATATAGTCAGTAATAATGTAATAACTACGTATGGTGCCAGGTGGGTACTAGACTTATTGGAGGTGTCACTTCTTAAGTTATATAAATGTCTAACCACTATGCTGTACACCTGAAACTAATATAATATTGAATGTCAACTGTAATTGAAAAATAAAATAAAAACACAAAAATAAAAATACAAGTCACTTCTAATATTAGGGGAAAAAAGATGAGAGATGCTACTTGAAGAGCGACTTTCATCTTAGTATGAGATACTAACTAAAGCTGTGATATGCATGTGTGGGAAATGGACCTTCTGGAACCCTGGTAAGACAGAGGCAGAAAGGTTGTTTCAGGACCCTGGGCACTAGACTCTGCTCTTTTTCCCAGGCAAGGGTGCTGTGGACTGAACTGTGCCTCTCACCAAAGCCATATGTTGAAGCCCTAATCACTCCCCTCCTACCCCGTGTGACTATGTTTGGAGACAGAGTTTAGGAGGTAATTTAGGTTAAATGAGGTCATAAGAATTCACCAGAGAGCTCTCTCTGTGTCATGAGAAGACACAGAGAGGAGGTGGCTGTCTGGAAGCCAGGAAGAGAGCCCTCACCAAATCAACTGGCACCTTGATCTGGGACTTCCCAGGCTCCAGATCTGTGAGAAATATCTGCCATTCAAACTCCAGTCTGTGTACTTTGCTATGACACCCTGAACAGACTAACTAAGACAGAGAGTATTGCTTTGCTGATGCTGTTTGGGCCATGAGTCAAGAGAGCCCAATGTTTGTAAACATTCCTTTAAACAAAAGCCATAGATGGTGCACAGCACATGATTGAAAGTCCCAAAGTGTTAGAATTACATCTATATTTTATATGCTATTTCCTTAAAACATTAATTTATTCACTCAACAAATATTTATAGAACCCTCTCATATGCTGGGCACTGTAGTAGGAACAAAACAACAGAAAAGCCCTAGTTCCCTATCTTCAAGGACTTTAAGAAAGTCAAACCAGAGCCCATGGTAAATCCCATGATGGGGGCACATGCAGGGTGCCCAGAGGGTACCTAAAGCAGTGACTGGCAGTAGGCAAGGCAGTAGGGAAGGCTTCTACGCTGTCACCTGAAGCCAGTCAGGCAAAGGTGAGGGATGAAGCCTTCCAGGGAGAGAGGGCCTGTGCACGGGCCCTGGTGCACAGCGGGGAGTGAGAAACTGCCAAGGACAGGCTGAAAATCATGAAGGGTCTGCATGACACTTTCAGTTTGAATTTTGCACACAACAGAGAATCCTGAGGATAAAATTTTTTAAAATGTGTGTAAATAGGAGCTTTAAAGTCACTCTTATTTTTGGCACCCAGACCAGGCTGTGTGTTTCCTTTGATTTTAGTGGCGATCCATACCCCACGCTCATGACTGCCTGCTGTGGCTTCGGGTGAGCACACGGCTTCTGGTCCTCACCTCACTGGGCCTGTTCCTGTTTCCAATCCAGGTATGACCTCTGCCTGATCAGCAGTCATGCTCGCTGCCAACAGAATATTTAATAACGCAAACACAGGCTTCTAGATTTCTGTCCTGGAAACTGCCCATGTTCCTGTTGGAAAGCAACAGCATGTTCTTAAAAGGGCCTGGTTTTTACTTCACATGAAGCAACTGAGGCAGTATTATTTTGATTATTAATCATCTCCAAATCCATTTTCATGGTCTTTCTAGTAAATATTTATGCTGTGAGGACTGTTATTGGCAAGGTTGTAGGCTGATGTCTTTTATTTATCCAAGGCTTGGTGGTATCTCAGCAGCTGCCAAAGGACTTTCGCCTTTGCCACGCTGACCTTGTCCATGACCCTGGGACTCTGTCCCCTCTGGGAGGAGGTGCTTCCGACCCCAATTTATCTGGGTGGTATGCAAGGCAGTTATGCAGTGTGGCTGCCTGTTACAGAATGAGTTATAACTGTAGTTCATTTTGTTTTGCATTCTAACTTGCCTTCATAATTCTTGCTTGTAAAAGAACTTTCTGGAAAAATTTAAGGAACGTGAGGAAAATTTAGTAAACTAGAGTGGACAGTCATAAGCCACTTAGAGAAAAAAAGAAAAAGGAAACTCAAAATAGGTATCTTTCAGCAAGAGTATCCAGAGCAGTTATATATCATGGATAAAATTCAAATTTCTTCCCCGTTTTCTTGAGGAATTGGGGAGCAGGGGTGGAACACAGCTAAGATCTTCTTCTCTCGGCCTAAGCTTCCTGAAGGGAAGGCAGGGCTGCCCAGGCCACTCAGATGGCCCACCGGGCTGTGGCAGGGGAGCCTTCATTCTCATAACACAGGATGGTTAGCAGGAAAGAGGTGTTAGCAGTTCGGACGCTGTTCCTAGTTCAGATGCTGGCACCCTAACATTAGACACCCTTCGCTTGCTTACGTAGCACGAGGCACTTACTCCCTAGGCTGGGGAGAGACAAAAGGGAGAGGCAGAAGCTACTCACTGTGAATACTTTCACGTTTACATACACCATTTAAGAAGATGAAGATGCACGTGCTCCTCAAAGATTGGCTTGCCGCCTAGCAAAGTCCTTGCCCAAGGGGAAGGGCGCCCCTCAAAACCCAGGGCTGTGGATCTGCTGCGAGGAGACACCCTGCGGCAGCGGTGGGGGGCTCAGGGGCAGCTGAGGGCTGCGAAGGAGCTGAGGGACCAGCCTTCCCGGCACAGCCAAGGACGAGGCGCTGGGATTGCCAAGCCCCCGAGGGAGGCATTTGGAATCCACAGAACCACCGACATTCTCCCACTGTCCCCAGATGCCATTAGGACCAATTCAACCTCACCTCCCATCCATGTTTACCTCAGTCACTGCTCCATGGTTACCATAACCACTGGCCTCTCATCCCCTCCTCCACATCCTTGATCTAATCCCACCCCCATCCTTCCAGACCATTCCTCAGTACTCACAGATCCAGCTATGATCTACCAACCCCCTGTGTCTTCTATGCCGAATGGCCCCTCTGTTGCCTTAGGGCACTGCCTTCCTCCCACGTGGTATTTGCAAATCAAGGCTTAGACCTCACACTCTTCAACGTCAGGGCTCATGCTTCACATTGCTGCTTCCAGATCATTATTTACTTAAAAACTCCTTTCCCTCCAAAAGGTTTATGCTATCCAGCTGAACCATTCTCTCCCCCATTTTGTTAACTGACCCCTTAGTTGCTTCCTGCTAGTAACTGAAAATCAAGACCCTGGATTAGTGTTGCTTCCACCCACCTCCTGCCATCATTCTTGGATCTTTATTGTCAATATCCATGCGGATGTCCCGTCCAACTCCTGGCCCACCAATTTCTTTACCTCACCTCCAGACTCAACTCCATGCCAGGCCCCTGTTCCCAACGTCATACATTGCCAGTCAATACCATTAATGGTACTACCTCCAAATCCTTGAATTCAACCATCTCATGCTCCAGCTCAACTGCTCAATTACCTGCATGACAACAAGGCAGGAATCAAGTCCTGCAACTCACTGACTTCTGCTTTCTGGTTATCCCCTTGGCCAGCTTGGGTTCAATTTTTTAAAAAAATATGTATGTATTGATTTCAGAGAGAGGGAGAGGGAGAAAGAGGTAGAAACATCAGTGATGAGAGAGAGTCATTGGTCAGCTGCCCCCTGCATGCCCCCTGCTGGGGATCGAGCCCGAAACCAGGGCATGTACCGGGACCAGGAATCAAACAGCGATCTGATCTCCTGGATCCTAGGTCAATGCTCAACCGCTGAGCCATGCCGGCCGGGCTTAGGTTCAATTTTATAATCACTCCTTTGCAAACATCCTTCTGCTTCCTTCTGTCTCTCCTGCCATTCTAACCCCTAGCATAGCCCAGCCATCTCCCTATTCTGTGCTTGCGCCTAAGCCACTGATGCTGCTGCATGACGTCTGCAGGTCTGCACCGGTAGTGTTGCTGGAACTGCTCTCCGACAGGGGCTTACCATTACCCAGGAATTCTAGTCCCACTGAGCTTGCTTTCCTGCTTTATAAATGATTTATTTCAAACCTTTTCTCTCCCTACATCTCTCTCCCTCTGAACTGATGACTAACTGTTCATTAACTGAGGAAACGTCACTGAGTCTGTGCCCTTCACCTCTTCTCTTTTAGTGCCTTCCCAGGGGTCGAGACTCTACCCTCTCCTGCCTCTAGCGCATCACTCTTTTCAGCCACTCTGGCATGATCTCCGTTTTCCCTATTAGTCTGTTTCCTCGACACACAAACAGGGTCTATTATCTTACCAACTTAACAAAGCCTACCCTTGATTCCACAGTGCCCTCCAGCTACTGCTACTTTTCATACTCAGACTTCAAGAGCTGTTGCCAGGTCTGCCCATTCACTGTTAGCCCACCTCATCCCAGCATCTGTCTCCTCCGACTGCTCAGGTCAAGCAGCCAATGAGTTCCCTGCTGCCCACTCCAGGGGGCACTTCCCACAACATTTGATCAAGTTAGGAGCTACCACCTTCTTGAAACTCACTTCTTTTGCACTTCAGGACCTTACACTGTGCCTCCTACTCAACAGGTCACTGTTGCCTCCAAGCTCAGTCCTGGGCCTTCTCCTCAAGATATAAGAAAGGTATAAGAAAGGTATATCTTTCTTAAAGACAAAGTAAAAGTAATGGCAATAATATGGTATTTCTACTGTCAAGACTATGGGCATAATGATACACCTGCTGATACACCTATATAAAGTGATTTTCTTTTTTATCAATTCAGAGATTAGCCTTCTTAAAACATCTAAAACATTTGGAATCTATTTTTTAAATTGTACAAATTCAGATTTTTCTGAAATACTAAGATTCCAAGTATGGTTAAAATTAAAATAATTTGTTTATTTTACTAAGGACCTGTATTTCTTTTGAGAATTATTCTTAAAGTCCAATGTTGTTACAGATAACATACCTGCGAATCCCTTTTGGTGTTTCTCCAATTATGAAGGTGGTCTGGTCTGTACGGTAGACTTTTTTCTTCTTCTGGCTCACAGGGTGTGAAATGTAAAGGGGACTTGAAATGCCTCCTTCACTTGGTTGTTGAGCTTGCTTTGTAGGTGTCGATGTATCTGCCTTCATTTTGTCTTTATATGTCTGAAAAAAGGGAACGAAGCAAAACTAAGTCTCAAAACACAGTCATTTTTGGCCAAATGAGGAGACTGTGTTACATTTTCAATAATCAAGTATATCATCTTCTCCAACTCATATTATTGTCAGAAGATGTTAATGTAGATATTTTAAAAGAAATATTTTTTACATCTTTGTTAAAGATACAAAAGTAATGGGAATACTATAATGTTCCATTGTATCTATGGTTTAAGATATATGTTAAAGGTATATCTTTCTTAAAGACAAAGTAAAAGTAATGGCAATAATATGGTATTTCTACTGTCAAGACTATGGGCATAATGATACACCTGCTGACACCCACTATCCTAAATAAGGGTAAAAATTAATTATTATGTAAATAATGGGATAAAAATGAGACTTAAAATTTTTTATTTTGGTAATTTTTCTCAAAATGATTAAGCAGACTTTCAGTTATTTAATTTAATAATCTTTATGTGATAATTAAATACTAAACCATTTTCACAAATCCCACTTTTCATCTCTACTGGGTTACAAGAATATTTAGTGATTTTTAAGATGCTAACTACAGTTCATTGAAATTATAGATAGAATCATATTTATTTTACAGACTATGGGTTGTTTGCTTAACATAAATTGTTAAAAACAGTAGGTCATTTAAACTATATGGTTCCAACCTCCCTGATAAGATGGTACAGTGAATATGTGGAAAGTTAACTGTCCCAAAGAGAAATACTGGATACAATTTGACAATAAAAAATTTATATTTGAGCTTAAAAGTAAGAAAGGAAAATCTCTAGGTGCCAAAAACAAAGTAGTAACATAGTGGTGAGTGGGAGCTGAAGCTCAGTAGCCACCAGGGATAGAGTCTTAAGTTACAGTTTGCAGGACCCCATATGTGGAGGGGAGATTGAAAATGATTTAACTCCTGAATTTAAAAAACCAACCAGCCAACCAAAACACAGAAGGAGCTAAAAGGATACCCAATTTGCAATTTAAAGCAAGAAAACCTCAAACTGGAGACACAGGATGGAAGCAGGTTACCTTCTTACTCTATCTAGATAGAATCACTGGTGAAAAAGAAAAAATGAAATGCCCAGCCTGTGCCATTTGTGGAATCTGATTTTGTAGCACCTGGAAAATGTAAGCTAAAGACTAACATAAAGAACTGGCCTAGAACCAATGAAAATCTCAATCAGGAGTGAATATAAAAAACATACCATAGGAAGACTTCCATAATCTAGAAGATGCTTGTGATTCCAATTGGGGGGCAGAGGGAGAGGGAGAGGAGTTCAGGCAAAAATGATTAGGATCATATAAAACCCACTATCATGAAAGTGGGCAGATGCAACAAATGTGAGAATCTATATCTGAGGAACTATAAATAAAGCAATCTGAACAACTTTAAATCATTAACATGTCCAGAAAGACAAAGGAAAAGACAGAATCCATCAGCAAGAACTATATATTATATAGGCAGTTTTGAGAAAGAATCAAATACAAACTCTAAAAAGGAAATATAGTTCTGAAATGAAAAAATAGAGATAGAAACAAACTCAAAATATGGGTTAAACAGCAGACTAAACAGCCCTACCTATAATGACAGTTGATAAACTGGTAGAATAAAATTACTCAGAATGCAGTGCAGAGATTAAACAAGAAAGAAAGAAGTAGAGAAAAAGAAGTAAAGAGACAGAATGTCACATACCAGAAAGAGAGAACAGAGAAAATGGAAGAGATAATGCCAAGGAGATAATGGCAGAGAATTAAAGAAGGCATGAATCCTCAAATTAAAAAAGGAGACTCTTTAGTGGAAAAAATAAAAATAAATCTGTACCTTGTTATATTATGATAAAGGGAATATCTTTAAAAATACCAGAAAGAAAAGATATCCCACAAAGAAATGACCATCAAACTAAAGGCAGACTTCTCATTAACACCACTTACCACCACCACCACCAGAAGATACTGAGATAATGTCGTCAGCATGTAGAGAGGGTAAACTGTCAACCTAGAATTCTATACTCAGTTAAACTATCACTTGAGAAATTTTTCAGACATACAAAAACTATAAGAGTTTACTAGATACAGATTCTTGCTAATGACATATTATTTTTCTTTTATGGGAGTTCAATGGAATTGAAGTGGCATATATCAATGAATGTGGGTAAGGGAATAGCTTTTTTTATTTTACAAATATTCACTAAGCACCTATTATGATCCTGTCACCATGCTCTGTGGTTGAGAACAAAGATATTTACAAATACAAACATACAAAATACCCTTACATGTACATACACAAAAAAACCTTAAGGGACTTAAAATTGACAAGCCTATTTTTTAAAAAAGATGGCACAGTTAAATCTTTCTTTTAAAAGTAAATGATTTATCTCTTTAACTTACATTGAGGTTCATTTTACTGAAGTAAACTGAACATAAGACAAAACATAAGACATAACTATATGTGCTTTAGTAGCAGGCCATTTCTAATGAAAATAAATTGGCTTCTTTCAAAATCTACTGTGACTCAGATGAACAAACACAATGTTGAAAGTACTTTTCTTAAATACAATTTCTTAAATCTTAAAACATTATTAATAAAGGGAGGAAAATGCTCACCTTTAAAGATAAGTTTGAAAGAGATTTGATGCATTTATTTTACATCACAAGAAAACAAGATGAATGTTAACAGTTCCTCATAAAAAGGATCATTATCTTAGATGATCTCCAAGAAGGAATTACCCATTATTGTAAGGAGAGATGGGAATGTTTGAATGAGGGTAAAGGGAGTAAACAGAAAGAGAAGGAACTGTGCCAACCAAGAATACTCCCTCCTCATATACTGCAGTTTCTGAATCCATGGAGAAATTGTGCCAGAAATGGCGATTTTTAGTTATTTACATGATTACTATGGGTCTTTCTGACCCTGGAAGCAGTACAAAGCTCACATTTGTATAGATATATTTTTCATAAATCAGTTTTACAAACTCTCCAGAAGATTCAGCCTTTCCAACCATAGTTATCAGACATGTGGATCTTTTTGTTTTTGCCACATATTATACATTTAAAAACCTGATTATTTTACACAATAATAAAAAGGAAAAAGCATTCATCTCTCACATAAGCTCAGTGGTTCAGATTTCCATTTTAGTAGGGTACTTTAACACTTTATTGAAAGGAGGCTGTGAAACAAAATTTTGTTAATTTAATACACATTTGGTGTTCTTGTTATAAAAGCTGGTTTCATTACTTTATAGTAAAACAGTACCCTTTACAATAGTATCCACTACAATACAGATGAAATCATTTATGATAGATTGCTTTACAATCTTTTACAACTGATACAAGGAAAATAGTGCCACCATGCAATTGCAATTGTAGTGACAGTTATAATTTATTAAAAAGCAAAGTACAAGGTCTAGCCAATATGAAAAGATTCCAGATTATGTGAACTGGACTCAAAACGCATTCATTACTACATATATCAAAGCTGCAAAGTTATATGACATTGAGGGTAACACTATAAGGTAGCAACAGTACTGAAGACTCAAGCAACAAAAAAATTCAGTAAAATTAGCTGGATTAAAACATTAGGATAGAAGATGAGGTTGCTTGCTCAGGAAAGCAAAATAAATCTACTCTTTCCTCCAGAGAGTAAAACGGCCAAAAACTGGAACACCATGTCTGTATTTGATAAGAAATTTGTGATTATAAGACAAAGAAAGCAGAAATTCCAGCTTTTGCAAAATCCCCTAATTGTTTCTAACTTTTCCTTAAAAACTTTCTTCAAAATTATCCATCAAGATTTGCCTTGAGAAAGTACCTCTATATTCTGTGATTCTGATGGCTTAACTTCATTTTAAGATTTATGGTTTTAATAATAAGAAATTATGAATACAAGAAGTTTGTACAGTATTTGTATAGTATAAGTATTTCGCTAATAAGTATTTTAGAAAGCTTGACACAGAGTATAATTTATGACTTAGTAATTGCTATGCTCATGATTATTTCCATAAGTTACTGGATATTGTTAAGTATTTCTACTATAGTATTTGTATAAAAAAATCAAATTCAACTTACGGAATCTTTATTAAAAAGAAAACTTAGTAAGTGTAAGGAATGCAGTAATCATTTCTAGGTAATGTAAACATACAGTTAAAAATCCGTTTAATGATGAGATTAATTGCATGGAAATGGAGGATTGCTTAAGAAGCTGAATTTATCAGAGAATACTGAAGTAATAATTCTAATTTATGAGTGATATATCTTTCTCCTTAGGACATGCACATAGTACATAAAGCAGTCAGTTGAGATTCCAAAAGGGAAACCCCATCCCCTTCAGACCACAGTCATTAGGTCTAAAGGGGTAAAGGGTGGACTATGGCTGATTATGCAAGTCCTAATTTGACTCATATAATTAAAAACTTAAATACACAATATGTTATCTTTACAAAAGAAATTATTTGCTATTAAAATAAATTCAGAATATAAAAATTGTTTGATGAAATTAAAACATTAAATATATATTATTTCTATAAATGGTAATTGTTCCAATATATTTTGGCAAAAATAGTCTCCTCAGTTACCCACAATTAAATGTTTAACTTGGAAATGGCTCACTTCAAAGACTTCATAAATACTTGCTTTGATTTAATTTTGATAAAGTTATAAAATTATTATTTATTTTTCTGATGTATCTGTAAAATGTGTGTGAAAATATATCATAAAAATTACTATCTAAAAATGTATAATGTATATATTCTATAAAATAAAAGCTATAATTATTTTAAGTTATAAAAGATATATATTAGGATTATAATAAATGAGAAGGCACTTTTATATGAAAAAATTCCTTCTATAGTAGCCAAAGTGTATCCACATTAGACCTAATCAACTGTGTGCATTTCTGTACAACTTATTTCTTCTTTAAAAATTTCATTTTTAAAGTACAGTTTACATTCACTAATGTATTAGTTTCAGGTGTACAGCACAGTGGTAGACAAAGC